ATGCACTGCGCGGGGTCTCTGCTCACACTTGCTGGAATCATTTGTGGCAGATTTTAGTCCACAGGTCGCTTTTCCCCATATTTCTTTGTAAACTCTTCAGCATTCTTACAGAATTTTTTACGGTCCTTAGAGTATTCTTCAGCTAGGTCAGCCCGGAGCGGGTGCTCAGGCTGGGGGTCATTCACCAGTGCTATGAGAGACTGGATTACTGCCAAGAGAAGGACAAGGCATTGGGATTAGAACAGAATCAGGGAGGACAAGAGGTAGACAATTTCAGAGACAAAATTCTTTGACTTCAATAGCGATTTATAGCCAATGTGCTTTTTAAAGACAAACTTGCTTTAATTTGAACTTGTTACCACCAGAACTCAGCCTTCCCTCCCCCCAATACTGTAACAGAAGAAAGTGATGGGTGACAAAGCCAACTTTACATCAGGTAACTGTTCAGGGTGATGCTCTGGCCTCTGGGAAGCCTTCATGACCCAACACCAGGGTGCTCTGGATACAGTAGGCACTGCACTAACAGCTGCTCACACTGAAGCACATACAGGATTACTTTCCCAGGTTAGCATTTAGGGGGTACGTGTCTGCCCTCACCCCGTGCTCAGCACTACACTCACTCAGTTTAGGACACTTCTAATCCAGGTGAGAAAGACGGGATGTGTGATGTGGGTGTGCCTGTCCACGTGCAATGAATCCAACCTAAAGGGCCCCAAGGAGCTCCTAAAGGTATGAGTAAGATTCACCGACGCACCTTGACTAGCCATTGGGAGGATGACAACCACAGCAGCAACAGACTATCAATGTCATGGCGGAAGTCACACATAGGCTCAGGGGTGCCGTGATGCTTCACATGGTGCAGGAAGTCCCAGACAAGCTGGAAGGTAATCCTTGGGGGTAAGGATGGCACAGGAGCACAGGACAGGAACAGGAATCAGCAGCAGGGTGCCACTTGCATCTCCTCAGAATAACCCCTAATCCTTGTCAGCACCCTCTAAGTGCTGTGATCTTTCCTACTACTGTTTCCAGCTCAAAGCTATCTCCTCTCTGGACCAATGCTAGATTCTTCTACTGGGGGCCTATGTTCTTTACCCAGCATTACAAGGAACACTGAAATGCTGGCACTGGCTGAACTGGGCATAGTATAGGCACAGCTAGTCACCAACACACACCAAGTTAAGGGTCTACCACAAGTACCACCTGCCTTTGGCATAGCTTATTAATGGTACCCAGTGAAGGAAGGCAAAAGACAGGAGGCTCCCATGAACATGGGGGACTCTAATGAGGCCTATGGCAAAGATGAATCAGGTTTGGCAAGACAGGTTCAGTGGGAAAGATGGGCAGCAGGGAACAATGGGGCCAAGGGTCTGGAAGGCTCTCTGCAGGCCACAAGAGCCTCTAATTTAATCTCCACACTCTCCAGAGCAAATACTGTTGCTTCCTGGTTTTCACTATAGTAGCACCTCTAGAGGAAGCGAGCCCTGTAAACATGTTTTTATTTCTTTATTTCAGGATTTATCCTTTGCAGATTTTATTCTTGTTTGACTGAACAAAAATGATAAAGCTGTTCTATTTTTGTATCCCCAAAACCAACCATTACTATCCCACTGTGCTATATATCCATACGTAGCCTATATTCTTGTTTAATATATTTCCTTAAATCACTTTTTGGAGGAGCAATGCTAGAGACAGAACCCACAGCATTGTGCATGCTAGGCAAGTGCTCTACCACTAAGCTACAACCATAGCTCTGTAATATTTAAGAGGCAAGGAAACATCAGTAACTCAAATGGAAAATCACCTTCATTTGTCATAAGCAGAAGGCATACATTAATAAACACTAAAAAATAACATAGGTCAAATGGTATAGCTCAGAGATAGAATGTTTGCTAGCACATGAGATCCTTGGTTCAATCCCTAGCATGGCAAAAAGCAAAAGTGAAATAAGTAGGGTGTGGTGGTACAAAGCACTTGTGAGACAGAGGAAGGAAGACTGTCACAAGTTCAAGGCCAGCCTGTACTATGTATGCAGATCCTCTCTCAAAAAAACAAAGCAAAAACAAAAGGTTAAGTACTTATGCTTCCTTCCCTTCCTATCCAAGCAGAGACATGACCATACTGGGGCACAGTCTCTTTCCTGGGGCATTTTCATGGCTTTCCCTAAAAACTCACCCTTGGCTTGCTGGCTGTGGTGTATTTCAGCACATGCCACTGACAGGTGAACATTACTGTTTTTTTAATTTCTTCTTTAATGCAGCACTGAAGATTGAAACTAGGGTCTATGCACTAAGCTACCTCAACTTTCTCATTTTGAGACAGGGTCTCTTAAGTCATTAAATTGCCCAAGTTGAGCTCAAACCTATGACTCTACTGTCTCAACTTACACAGTCCTAGACTAAAGGCATGTACCACCACCATGCTTGGTTTTGTTACTAATTGTATTTCGTATACCAGGAATTTGTCATCAACTATATTTTGTATAGCACTCAACCATCAAATTAACCCTTGTTTTTGTCTACCAAGGTATCTACTAGAAAGCAGGGTACACAGTCGTGCATGGTACACTGTTTCTGGAATCTGGGAAGTATGCAGGTAGGTAGCTCAGCATCACAGTGCCTGCTTGGTAAGCATGAGGCCCTAGTTTGATTCCTGGTACCAAAAATAAAAACCAAAACTTTCTGTGTTTCTTTTTATTCTTGTGCTTCTCCCCATACCCTCATAGTCACTAATTTGTATGGATTTGCCTCTTCTGATAATCTCATATACAACTGAACCTTGTTGTCTGCAGTAGTTATGTCCTAGAGACTTGCACGAACACTGAATTAACAACACTGGATCACAGTTCCTCTGCTCATAATATTTATCAGCTGATTAATATATAACCATATATATAAGATAGATAGATATAAATAGATAGACAGACCTTAAAAATGGGTGTGGTGGCATGCGCCTTTAGTCCCAGCTACTCAGCAGGTTCAGACAGGAGGATCATAAACTTGAGATCAGCCTGGGCAACTTAACAAGGTACTGTCTCAAAATTAAAATAGGCCGCTGTGTTTTTCCTTGCATGGCAGCCAACCTTTATACTGTAGGGCATACTTCTTTTTCTACTTTTACTTGGCTCAACTTGCCCTGCAGTGTCTGTTGCTTTTCCTACCTTTAAAAAATCTTTGCTACGGTTTTTTAATTAATTAATTATTGATACAGGGTCTCGATACACAGTTTGGACTTGAAGTGACCCTCCTGCTTCAGCCTCCAAGCACTGGGATTAGAGGTGTGCGCCACTATAGCATGTGGTACCAGGGATTGAACTCAGGTCCTTGTGCTTGCCAGGCAGTTGTAGATTACTGAGCTATATTCCCTGCCCATGCCACTATTTAAAAAAGAAAGAAAAAGAAAAAAGAAAAAAAAAAAAAGATGGATGGAAGGAAGCCTTGCTTAATATACAACACTGAATCATTTATCATTTATCCACAGTAGTATAAATCATGCCAGAATAAAGTTTAGCTAATACATGTGATTTCTCCATAAGACATAACAGTCTTCTTGTACTCAGGAACACTAGACAGCACTTTAGCATTACATTTGAGGAGGTTTGTTTTTTTTTTTTTTAAACTATACTTGAGATCAAATCCAGGGGTATTCTACCACTAAGCTGTATCTTCAGTCTTACTATTTAGAAACAGCTGCTCACTAAATTGCCCAATTGGGAATATGAACTTGTGATCCTCTTGCCTCAACCTTCCAAAGATTTGGGATTACAGGTTATGCATCTCTACACCTGGCTGGCTATTCCCCCACCCCCACCCCCCAGCTGGCTATTTTCAAAGTCAAATCACAAAATGAAAAGCACAAAATGCAGCACTGCACAGGCTACATGCTTAGATATGAGAGCTGAAATACAAAACTATAGAATGTCAAACTGTTCATTCAAATTGGGTGAATCAAATTTTTCACTGCTCTGTACATGTCTGTGATTGGTTGTAAAAGCATTACATTGATTTAGGGGTCAAAAAACTATTAGTAAGTAGATGAAACCACAAAATCTGAGTAAGGCTCAACTACAAATAGAATCACAGAAAATGTCATTTGGGACTATTAAATTTAACATAATATTTCAAGTTTTGGGGCAATTATGGCAGCACATGCCTGTAATTCCAGCCCTAGGGAAGATGATAGGAAGATCATCATGAGTTTGAAGGCAGTTTAGGTTACATAGTTTAAAGCCAGAGAGAGACTCTATCTAAAAATTAAAAACGTATGTACTTAGGCAGATGCAGGGACCAGGATTCAATCCCCAGTGTGTCGTGCCAGCCCCACTGCCAGGGCACGCAGAGATGGCGAATGAGATATTGAGATTGGGTATGGCAGCCAGGCCTGCCTGTAATCCCAGCGCTTGGGAGGCTGAAAACAGGAGGATCACTACAAGTCTGATCTGTGTAGAGAGATCCTGTAGAACCTGTACTAAATACATTAAAAAAAAAAAAATCTTCCTTTTCATAGCTGAACTACGTTCCACTGGGTCACCTGTGTAGTAGCTGCATTAACCCTTGATGGCTGGGATATGCCAGCTTGTACTGTTCCTGTGTATGGTATCTAGTGTTAGCTGGGCACCTCATCCTTGTTGCAGCCTCTTTTTTTTTTCCATGAGGCTAGGATGCACAACTTCAGAGCACTGTATGAGTATACCACATTCAGTTTATCCATTTATCAAGCCATGAACATTTATAGATAAAGCTTCCATGAACATTTGTGTACAAGTATTTGTATGGACACAAACTTTCATTTCTCTCAGGTACATATGTATGATCACAGGAGTATTTTTTTTTTTTTTTTTCAGTTTACTATCTTCTTCAATATGCTGAATTTCTTTTCTTTTTCTTTTTTTTTTTTTTGGTGGAACCAGGGATTGAACTCAGACCCTTGCGCTTGCCACGCAAGCATTTATTCTACTGAACCATCTCCCTGGCCCCTTTTATGCTGAATTTCAGTATCATATTCTAAGTACATTTAACTCGACTGTTGACAATTTTAAATGTATTTGGTTGTTACAGGGTCTTACTACACAGCTTAGACTCATAGTGATCCTGTTTTTCAGCCTCCCTAGTACTGGGATTACAGGCATATGCCACTATGCCTACACTCTGAGGCATGGTGTGTGGTGTCAGGGATCGAACTGCAGTCCCTGCACTTGCCTAAGTAGGCACT